ATAACTGGAGCCCATTCTGATGGCTCAGAAGCGATAGGAAAAACGCATGTGATATAAAAGAGACTGAAGCTGACATAGGAATAGGGAAGATACAAATGCTTTTATTTATATTGCCACAAATGGATCTTTATGAATATACAGGGTGTTTCAGTTTATTGTTGCATAACTTTAAGATACGATAGAGCTTTTTAAATTAATGCATAAAGTCTATATAATCATGGGTCGATAAATGCGTGGCTTCTGAAATAAATTTACTTTCTAAAATATTTTTTCTTAAATATTTCGAACAATATTTGATGTATAATAGTGAAAGGGTTTTTTGGTACGACAAAACGAACCATGGGCATAGTTTTACTGTAGCCGCTAGAGGGCGCTCTCTACTGTACCTGTAGTGTATTAAAATGACCGAAATTTTTTTCTTAGTGCAATTTTTTGCTTTCTGAATAAAAAACTGATTCTTCGCACTTTTCAACATAAAAAAGATCTCTTGTGAATTTTCGTTATAGTTAGCCGTTTTTGAGATATTTCGATTTTAAGGTTCGATGCATTTTTAATTATTATGATAAAATAACGTTAAAAAGTCAGTATCTCGATAATTTTTAGAAGTAGGCTGTGCCTGCAAATATTTTTGAAATTGAAGGCAGAATAAGGTTAAACGTCAATTAGTTGACAGTTAGTTTTGTTGTGTCCGTTGAAACCTGAAACGTTTTTTTGCAATTGTGAATGCATGAAATTTAGTTTCTTTTACCTGTTTTTTTGAGAGCTTTTTATGTTGGAAAGTGCGAAGAATCAGTTTTTTTATTCAAAAAGCAAAAAATTGCACTAAGAAAAATTTCGGTCATTTTAATACACTACAGGTACAGTAGAGAGCGCCCTCTAGCGGCTACAGTAAAACTATACCCATGGTTCGTTTTGTCGTACAAAAAACCCTGGTATATCAAATTTCACTGTTATACATCAAATATTGTTCGAAATATTTAAAAAAAAACTATTTAGAAAGTAAATTTAAACACCCTGTATTTCGGAAGCCACGCATTTTTCGACCCTTGTTTATATAGACTTATGCATTAATTTTAATCGAATTTAAAGTTATGCAACAATAAACTGAAACACCCTGTATATAATACACTCCTAGTTTATAGGCCTTGAAATTTTGAAAATAATATATTTGTATAAATACACATTACTAACTAAAAAATCAAAAGACTTTGCTAATTAATTAAGTCACTCATAGGCTTTTTGTACATATTCAAATATTTCAATATTCAGCTTAATTGGTGTTAATTTTGATAAAAAACAAAAATGAAAATCCAATACGGCCCTGGATTTTTTAACCGTGTCTCTAGACATGCGTTATGCCTGAGAGTTGTGATATTAAAGGTTTGGCGTGTTTAAATAAAAAAATGAATCTAACACTACTTTATTTCGTATTCCTACCATTCCACTATAGTATTGATTCCCAAAGTGGTCTATATCGACCCCGAGGGGTCTATGCAAACCTGCAAGGGGTCTACGTCAGCGAAAAAAAATTTGGGGGTCCATGAAATGAATATGGGGGTCCACGATAGTGGATCTCAACACATACACTGATTACCTATTTATTTACATCATACTATCTTATAATATCAAAACATATACATTATTTATAAAAGTACCTAGGAAGTAAAAAATTTATTATATATGTTTATAAAATTGTGTAAACTGCAAGATCATCTGAGAAGATACCACCCGATAAAACAGAGAAAGATTTGAAATACTTTCAAACACTCAAAGATAAATTGCAGAAGAGACCGACAGAATGTTCGCTTCGACGTCACAAAGAAAATGATGGCGGCGTCTTACAATATCTCGTTACTTATAGCAAAATTCGGAAAACCACATACTATCGGAGAGAAGTTAATTTTGCCAGGTTGAACAGGTTTTAAAAACTGTTTTACACAAACCTGCACCTGATATCATTAAAAGAATTCCCTTAAGCAACAATACTGTTGAAAGACGTATTGATGAAATGAGTTCTGATATTGAAAGCTTCTTATGTAATTATTTGCAAACGACCCATTTCTCTATACAACTGGACAAGTCAACTTTACCTGATAATGCAGCGTTATTATTGGCATATGTTCGTTTTATTATGAATCAAGAAATCTACGAAGAAATGCTCTTCGCAAGAACTTTGATAACCGACATTAAAGGTGAATCAATATTTCATTTTGAAGGATTACTTCATTGAAAAAGCAATTCCTTTATAAATAATAATCAGTAGCTACAGATGGAGCACCTGCCATGGTGGACGTTATCGTGGATTTATAAGCTATTTAAAACAAAATGTGTCAGGGGTGTTAGCAATACATTGCGTCATCGACAACATTTAGTTGCTAAAATTTGAGTGTTAGATTGCATGAATCACTTCATTTAGTCATTGATGCAGTAAACCGAATCCGAAGCAACGCGAATGACGAACACTTTCATCATTACTCCTTCACACTGAAGTACGCTGGCTGTCGAAAGGCTTAGTTTGACAAAATTTTTTGCACTTTTTGAGACTATTTTAGAATTTCTGGATACTAAAGATAAAATTTTAAAAGAAAATTTTATGAAGAGGAAAACAGACATCGCCTATTTAACAGATTTGTTTACAAAATTTAATATGGTTAATTTGCAATTACAAGGCGACAGTTTAAATTTGATTAAAACAAAGTCCATCTTATCAGCGTTTCTTGCCAGAGTTAAACTAATGAAGCAAAATATTGGACTGGGCGATTTTCTCAGTTCCCCAATTTGAAACAGACAAGCTGCCAGGAAGACGACGTTTCAACTTACGTTCAACATTTAAATGCCCTCTATTCAGATTTTGAATCTAGGTTTGAGGATATTTTGACTATGGTAATACCACCGTGGATAATTAATCCATATGGTGACATAGAAGAAACGAATGTCATAATACAAGAGGAACTGACTGAACTAAGTACACACGAAGAACTTAAGGTTCAGTTAAAAACGGATATCAGCAATTCTGGCTGCAAAACAACATACCCGTTACTTATCCCGTATTATGGAATATAGCGAGGACATTTTTAATTTCCTTTCCATCGTCATACCTAGTGGAAAGGGGGTTCAGCGCTGTTACCAATCTCCTAACGAAAAAAAGAAACAGACTGGACATCATTAGCCGAGGAGATTTAAGATTAACCCTTACAAAATTGACGCCAAATGTTGATAATTTATTATTAAAGCATCAGGTTCATCCTTCTCACTAAAAATATTGAATTATTGCTATGTTATTTATTTATAGTTTATTTTATGTCATTGGTGTCTGACCAATAAATGCCCGCATTGGAATAAGTGCCCGCATTGATTGTTTCAAAGAACCCCCCTTTATAGAAAATATTTTTTTATAAATTATTCTGAAAATTCAAGGAAGGTACACACTAAAATTAGTTAATTTTTTGCCTATTTTTAGATAACTTAAACGTATAAGAAGCGGAATTTAATCAAACTAACAGTGAAATTATTGTAGACATACGTTTATGTTATAATTAATAAACGAACTCGCTTATTGTACTATTTTAAGTAAAAAACATTTTTTTTATTATTTTTCACTTTTTTTTATTTTATCCCTCAAATTTTTTTTTTCAATGCGGGCACTTATTCCCAATGCGGGCACTTATTGGTCAGACACCTGTTTATTTAATGTTACGTACCTATATTTTACAGATACAAAATTTTATTTTGAGGAGTTTTAATTTAAATTCAATTAATAAATGTATAAATTAACATGTGTTTTTACTTTAAGTTTTTAACACTAAACTTCACTACAGTTAGAAATTTACAGGAAATCAATATCAGGTAAGTAGGGGGTCTACCTAACACGGAAAAACATGGCAAGGGGTCTACGACACAAAAAAGTTTGGGGAACTCTGCACTATAGTCTAATCATATTAGACGAAAATACCCCTGGTTTGCGAGATAATTGTAAAGTCCGGTGTTATCGTCGTAAGTTGTTCAAGGGGGTATTCGAAACATGGACGCATAAAATGGGTAAACC